TTCTCCACGTTGAAAATGACCCGTCCACCACCACCCTCTGGGTGCGGCCCTCCAGCCAATTTGCAACCCATCTGACTGTGTAGGCGTCGACACCACAGATGCCTAATTATTTAATGACGATGGGATGAGAGACAGTGTTGATGGCCTTTGGGGTGCACCGACCCCAGCACCAGTGAAGGCGCAACACTAGGGGCTGCGGAGAGCCCAGGCACCAGTGAGGCACGGAGACAGGGCTGTGGAGAGCCCAGAGAGGACAAGGGGGCGAATTCATACCAAGGCCCAGACCGAACAACATCAATGCCATCTGCAAGGCTTGGGGCGTGGTAAAGGGGCGGTTGGAGCCACACATATAGTCCATAAGGCTAGGGTGCCCCCGAAACACCCATTGTGTAAATGGGACCCAAAAGGGGTCTGGGAACCCATGGGGTTCAGAGAGCCCATCCAACCATGTCCAAGAGGACTTAAAGGCAGCCTCCCTATTTCCATCAAAGACATGGCGGGCGAGAACTGAGGGTGCCCATTGGGCCAAATTGGCACGGTTGAGGGACCTTAGGAGATCACGGCCATCCTTAGGGACCCCATCCCGTGACAAAGGGACAGTGTTTTTTTTCAACGTTTCGTTTTGAAGCACTGTTCTGTTTCGTTTCATCAGAACTGTTTCACTGTTTCGAGGCATTTCTCCATTTCGCCCATAGGTTATAATGGGGGATCATGAAAATTTCCTATAACTTTGTAATTTCTTTCCAGATTTGAATGAAAACAGCAGGGATGGTAGCCCCTGCTAAGGACATAAAGCCTGTCAAGTTTCAAGGAGATAGGTGCAAGGGTTTCTGGAAAACTGCACCTCAAAGTCTTGAAAGCAAAACTCATGTCACTTGTAAGTGTGAAGGTAAAGTGGGGTGAAAACAGCAAGCATTGTAACCCCTTTTGAGGCCATGAAGTCTGCCAGGTTTCAAAGGGATAGGTGCAAGGTTTCTGGGAAACTGCACCTCAAGCTGCTGACAAGCAAAACTCGTGACATGTATGACTTTATGTGTGTATTAAGGCACTCCTTCACTGGCGCTGGGGTCTCTACATGACACAAGTCATGTGCCCTAATGAGGTCTCCTCCTCCCCTACAGCCTCAGTCCGCTCCACCACTTCAAATAGCAACAAGTAAGTAAGCAGCACAGTAGCACTAGCAGCATTTCAGGCAGCCAAACTGTCACAGAGCCTTTCTTTCCTTTCCTGCAGCAGCTTCTTCTCCGGGAGCTCACAGAGAACTCTCCCTGCCAGCCCCAGCCCTAGGGTTTAGATGTGCCCAGGGCCCTGCCTCCCTTCAGTCAGCTGACCAGGGACAGGTGCAGGGGTGTAGGTTGTAGCCATGTTGGTCTAAGGACAGGACACTGGCAGACAAGGTTCTTTGGGTCAATCTGCTATCTTTTAGTAGATCAACTGAATAGCTGGAGAAATATATCTTAGCATGCTTTCGAGTTGAAAAATACTTTGTCAGGCTGAGGAAGCACCTGCAGTTGGTGTGTGTGCTCTTCCTGGATGGAAGGAATAGTAAAGAAGCCAGAGGCTGGTGTGCAATGCAGACAAGAAAGTCCGTCAGTGAAAATGGAAATGGAGGTGTCAGGGGGTGAGGGACAGGCTGGGGGTGGGGGAAGGGGGATTGTAACCTTCCATGCCTATCCCCCGAGCATTGTTTGTTTGGGTTCTTCTTGAACCTTGTCATGGCTTCTTGGGCTGCATGGACAAGCTATTGGGAGTGACCTCGGGTCAGTTCCCCCAGGGGTCTCTCCTGCCACATCTTTGATGATAAGTAGTTTCCTATTGGGAGGACGCTGTCTGGTCCTGCCTCACCTGGTACTTTCCCTCGGTTGTCCTCATGATATTTCTTCTCAGGGCTCCACCTCCCCTACACCCCACCCAATACCAACCGTGATGTTGTCTGTCAGGGCTGATGTTCTGGCCCTCCCTGGCACTCGGTCCTTTAGGGACTGCGGTCATTGGCTACTGGTGGTATTCGTACCAAGCGTCCCCCACAGCCCCTCTTTGCTCCCAGCTTATGCGGCATCTGACTCAGCCCAGGCTTTAACCCCACTTGCTGCATCATTTCCTCCCCGGGTCTGGTACCTGCCATCTGTTGTCCATGTCATGGTTCCGTCCCCCTTGCCTCTGCTGGTGTCCCAGTCACTGCTGCCGCTGACCTCCATCCATGCCGGCCCCGTGAGTGACTTGTTGGGTTCTCGTTGGCCCAGTGTCCCCATCACGCTCCCCTTCCATGGGAACCACCATGTCCCCTCACCAGGATTGCCTGGACATTCTGACTCTTCCGAGCTGGTTGGGGACACTGCTTCTGGTCCCCCCGGCTTCCTTCCTACCGGGCCTTTTATCTTGGTGCTGGGCACGCGCCTGGCCAATTACCCCCAGCACACTTTTATAGAGCGCACCCAGGCAGATGCTGGAGCTGTTCCCAGCTCCTCCCAGCTCCACCACAGGTTTTCCCTTTGATCTTTACCCACAGCGGCTGGAGCCACCACGGTTTCACTTTCACTGTGATTGGCTGCTGGCGCAGCGTCCTGCCACCTCTCCTCCGCTTCAGGTAAGTTTTCTCCACAGGGATGTAGCAGGTAAAAGTGGAGAGGTACCTGGGGAGTCAGATGTAGGTTATAGTGTGTCAGAATTCCAATGCCTGTATTGAGTCCATGAGTTTCTATACCTAGGAGGTTGATGAAGTGCAGTTCATAGGCTCGTCTGTGAAAAGTGGCTTGTAAATTCAAACAAGCACTGAACCTCGCTAACCTCATCACCAGAAGCCAACTTCCTACAGCCCAAAACACACTGAATGGATCCAGGCCATACCATGACAAGACATGCAAAACCTGCCAACAATATCTCCAGTATGGAGATATCTTCACAATACATATCTCCATTAGGGCACTTGGAAAATACGTAGAAGACACCAAGCAACAACTGCACACCAGAATGAGTGCACACCGAAAATCTATCCGACAAGAACACCCAACTACCTATCTCCAATCTGTCAGGCCTGATCCTCAAAGGGAATTTACAAAATTTTCACAGATTTCACCTCCAGAGCTAGACCGCATGCTACTGTGACTGCTTCCCCAACGCAACTGGGGAACAGATATGAAGCCCTGGCAGCACTGGGGGATGATGCAGTAGAGCAAGCCACAGGGGAAGACACATCTGCAACAAACACCAGGCAGTCTGAGCAACAACCGAGCAGCCAGAGGAAGAGACGCCGGGTCATCGTGGTGGGCAACTCCCTCCTGAGAAGCACAGAGGGGCCATTCTGTCAACTGGATCCCACAGCACAGGAGGTTTGCTGCCTACCCGGAGCCAGGATCTGGGACATCACTGTGAGGATTTCTGACCTCATCCAGCCCTCTGATTACTATCCCATGGCCCTTGTCCATGTGGGCATGAATGATGTAGCTAGGAGTAGTCCAGGGAGTATTGACAACAGGGCTCTGGGGGCTAGGCTTAGAAAGTCGGGGGCACAGGTAGTCTTCTCGTCCATCCTTCCAGTCAGCGGTTGCTGTCAGCATCAAGACACCTGCATCAGCGAAGTCAACCTGCAGCTCCGGAGTTGGTGCCATCATGCGGGTTTTGGCTCCTACAACCACAATCTGCACTTCCATGAGAGAGGCGTTCTGGGATGAGATGGTCTTCATCTCTTTTCTAAAGGTAAGAGTCTGTTCTCTTACAGGTTGGCTGATCTCCTCCTAATGGCTTTAAACTAGGTTCACTGGGAGACAGGGAAGCAGAAAATAAGGAGAACCTAGGATCAGCGAGCCACGAGCAATGCACTGGATCAGCCCAGGTAAGCACTAATGAGCCCGATAGACATCAGGACAGGGGAGTACCAAGGGCACCCATCACGGGGCTTAAATGTCTCTACACTAATGCTAGGAGCACGGGGAATAAGCAGAAGAAACTTGCCCTCCTGCTTGCAAGCAACAACTTTGACTTGGTTGGACTAACTGAAACCTGGTGGGACCCTACTCATGATTGGGCAGTAGGCATCGAGGGTTACAGGTTGTACAGACAGGATAGAGCGGGGGGGAAAGTGTTGCTCTCTATGTTAAGAAGCAATATACATCTTCTATAATCAAGAAGGGATCAGAGGAGGGCCAAACTGAGGTACTATGGGTCAGGATACAAGGGGGGTGGGGGGAAAGGGACTTGGTAGTGCGGATCTACTTTAGACTGCCACACCAGGAGGATAAGCTAGACCTGGAATTCTCCAGACAGCTCAAGATGCCCTCTTGGCTGAACAGGGAAGTCCAGGAAAGACTAAGAGCAAAGAAAGAGGTATACAGGCTGTGGAAACAAGGGGTAGCTACCAAGGAGGAGTATACCTCCCTGGCTTGCACTTGTAGGGAATCAGTTAGGAAGGCCAAAGCAGGATTAGAATTTAGACTGACAAAAATTAAGGGCAACAAAAAGTCCTTCTTCAGGTATATAGGGAGCAAAAGGAAGGTGCAGGGTAGCAAATATTAATATTCTTCTGTGCTTATTGTAAAATAAATTAACAGAAGTACAAAAGCCTCCTTTCTACTCATTTTAAGTTAGATATTTTTACTCCCTCTGCTGTTATTCTAAACAATGCTTCAGGCACTGGCTATTGTCTTGTCAATAGAAATATATTCTTGATTCTAAACAAGTTTTACACACAATGCCCTTTTAAAAATATAAGCTATATGTGGGAAGTAATAATTTCCTTTATGTGTTTGTTCAAATTATGGCAGCAGGTATAATGAAAAAAATTCAATATCTCCAAAATGACAAAGAAGCCTCCACTATCTTAGGAGTTTTTGTCAAGCACGTATGAGCAAATTACAGCAGTTACATGATTCAGGTACTGAGAACAATTCCATTGTGTGTCAACAGGGGTGGAGTTTACAGCTGGCATGCCTCCTTTTTGAGATACAGTATAAAGGTTCAAGAAGCATACAGCACTCCTCACATTAACTGCCCTGAATATTGTGGGTCTTTAGCTATTTCATTTTTTTAAAAAGAAAAACAAAGCAAAACATCAATGGCGTTTTCTACCCGAAGCTTTCACAGGAGCACAAGTTCCACTTTCCAGGCACCTGCACCCAGCCTAAGCAGTTCGGCTTACAGGAAAATAGGTATTCAAAAGTATCAGGCACCTAGTGTCTATGGGGGAGCAGGTGGCTATGGAACCCGCATTTCTACCAGTACCAAATACGGAGGAGGCTTTGGAACTGGCTCTGGCAATACCTTTCAGTTCAATGTTATTGGTAATGACTTATTTGCTGGCAACGAGAAACTGACCATGCAGAATCTCAATGACCGTTTGGCTTCCTATCTGGAGAAGGTACATTCTCTAGAAAAGACCAACTCCCAGCTTGAAAAGCAGATCAGAGAGTGGTATGCAAATAACTCCTCAAGTACAAGACAAGACTACAGTCCATATTACAATACAATTGAAGAACTCCGAAACAAGGTAAGAGACCATATACTTGCCCATAGCTTTGTATCTGTAATGGTAGTTGGATTATTTGGGAAGGAAGAGAATCAATTAATTGTAAAAAATATATTATTCAATCCCTGGTTGTCTTTTCATAGAGCATTAACCATTTAGCTTTGTCCCCTTATAGCCTGGTTAGTAAGGCAATTAACTTTGCATAGTTTATCTTGCTACAAAAAATGTATATGTATGTGTGTAACCTAACAGTTCAAAATCTGTCAAATGACTGACTTGATTCTTCTGTTACAGGTTCTATTAGGTGCTTTTAAGGAAAAAAAATAACAACAACACTTTAAACTTTCATATATAGCCTTCCACCTGTAGACTTCAAAGTACTTTCCACATAAGTTATCTTTTCTTTCTCATCTAGGTAAATTGAGGCACAGAGGACTGAAATCATTTGTCCAAGGCTGTAGAGCCTGCCACATTAGTACAGAACCCATGTCTTTTGCCTCCCAATAAAGTGCCCCATTTAATGAGCCACATATAAATGGAACAAAGGAATATACAAGTTTAAAATAATTTCCTCTGTGCTCTGTAACTCAAACAGTATACATTAAGACCTTTTTATTAATATACATTGCTCCAGAGGTGCTATGCAGACCTTTCAGGTTTTGAAAGTGCATGTCATAGCCTGTATAATAATAATAATAATAAAAATCCCTAAGTACTCAGTGACGAGTATAATTTCTTTCTAAGTACCAGTAAATGACCAAAAAAAAGATAAAGTGACAAGGATGCCATTTATACCTGCAAGAGGCAGGAAATTTTGAGTAAATAGTAAAATTCCTTTTTTTATTTATCTCAAAGTGTCAATTACAAAACTTACACCTGCAGGTTTTATTTGTCAAGCTACAAAGGAGTGGATCAGAGATACCATTTCTATTATCTCTATGTACTGCATATGGGGGGTGAGGTTCATATCAAGCTTCCAGACTTTAACTTTATATTTTTATAGTTAATCTAATCTAATCTAATCTAATCTCTTATTCTGTCACACACGGACAAAGGTAAACAAACAGTATCTTGTTACCTGGGAGTAACCATTTATTGAGGACATATAGCAAGTCAAAGTTATTTCTGTTTCATAACTCAGCCATTTCGTCACATAATTTCCCCTCTTTTCTTATTCAAAAAATTTATTTAAATTTTTGTATATTGCTTTTGAGTAAATAGTAACATTCTTTTTGAACTGCTAAATGTTTAGTAATGGAATATGTTTGACAATTTTGTATATTGTGCCCCTTGTTACCAAAATTAAAAATATCACATTTCATCAACATGGTCTATAACAGCAAAAGATCAGAAATACAGATTCTAGTTTAAAACTTGCTTTGAATTTTTTTTTAAATGTAGCACAATGTAGAGGTAGGGGGACGTAACTTTGGATGAAATCTATGAAGACATTTTACTTGCCTTTAGGTTATGTTTAATTACACATAAAAATAAGGTGCCTAGTCTCATAAAGGTGATCCAAAGAAGCAGTTTACACAGGCTCAATATATAGTTAGTGAGCAGAGACAGGCACCTTCAAAGGCTGTTTCATAAAATAGACAGTCCTGTGTCTGAACTCCTGCCACTCTTTCAAGTGTAGGTACCAGAAGCAGAGCTACAAGTTAGGTGCCTCTGTCTACTCGGGATTCAATGCCCAGAGTCCTCTTCTAAGGGCAGGTCCTAACAATACAGGGCTCATTCATTTTAAAATGCAGCAGCAGCATCGGTCTTCCTGATAATCCAAGGGTGCCCAAAATGTGACTCAAGAGCTCAATGAAGGACAGGAGCCCCTTTGATGCAGCCCACCACCCAGAACTACCACTTCAAAACGGTCATGTAGAGGCACTACTTTAGGAACCCCTAATATAATTGTCTAGCGGTCAGAGAACTCACTGAGGAAATGGGAGACCCATGTTAGGCCCTCTCAACCTGAGGGCATTCAAACCATATTTCTCAGGAAAGTGCCATAATCACTAGATGAGAGGACACTCTGGGAGAGGGTACCCTTCTCCTCTCCAAGTGAATTTGGGCCACTGAGGAACCAAGAATGTAAGATCGTAAGAATCATTGAGCCAAAAGGAGAAGAAGCTTGAACCTGTAGTCAGGTTAAGGTACTCTACTGGGAGCAAGAAGACCTGGGTTTTGGTCCCTGCCCCCTGTACTCTTTATGCACTTAACATCAGAAAAATCATTGGATAAAAAAAGAAATAATTCATGGAGCAGAGACTGGATATCCTATATTAGGAAATCCTGCAAAAGCCCCAGCTCTTTGGTATCTACTGTATTTGAAAGGCAAAAATGTCAACTGCATCTGAGATCTAGAGAACTGTAGCAGTAAGAGCTTAGCAGTGTCTTGAGACAGGAAAAAACACCGGAGGCAAGAAATCCACATGCACTGAAACATCATTCGCATATACACACCCTCACATTCTTTGCATTTTTCTATTTTGTTTTGTATTTCATTCCTTGTCTTTCAAAATTTAGTTTTCTCCTTCCCTCTTTCAGCATCCCCTTCCTCTTCCTTATATTCTTTCTCTCTTTCCTCCTCTCCTTTTTTCTGTTGAATTTTCTTAAGCAGTTATCAGCAATGTATGGTCTGTGGGCCAGATCTGACCCACGGGTACATTAGAACCAGCCCATGGAGCTGCAAGTCTTTGCCTGTGTGCATGCCCACTCTGGAGCTGAGCAGTGAGAAGCTGTGCCAGTGTTGGGGAGGTGGAAGTTGTGTCTATGCCCCCTACCCTGCCCCACCCCCAAGACTAGCATGGGCACAGCTTCCAACTGGAGGGGAGCTGCAATGGGGCCAAGGACTGGGAACCTGTGCCTGCACTACTGCCCAGATCCCCTGTGGCTGGAAGCTGCACTGCATCTGGGAAGCTGGGGACTGGGAGGAGCTGTGGCAATGTAGATGCAGCTCCCAGTTGTGTGGCTCCAGCAGGGGCAGAAGGAAACCCCACCCCACCATGGCTGCCATGCTGCCTCAGCCACCTGATCTGTGCCAGACTGAGGCTGAGTTGTTTCAGCCCATGGCATGAAAAATGGTGCTGGCTTCTGTTCTTAAGCATTTTCAAAAAGTCCCTTCAATCCATCTTCCCTTCTCATTCTCCTCCAAGTCAGAGTCCAAACCCCTAAATCTTTTTCTGTAAGGAAACACCACCCCACCATGGCTGCCATGCTGCCTCAGCCACCTGATCTGTGCCAGACTGAGGCTGAGTTGTTTCAGCCCATGGCATGAAAAATGGTGCTGGCTTCTGTTCTTAAGCATTTTCAAAAAGTCCCTTCAATCCATCTTCCCTTCTCATTCTCCTCCAAGTCAGAGTCCAAACCCCTAAATCTTTTTCTGCCTTCCTACTAACTCCAGTTCTGAAATGTATAAAGCGGAACAAGGAAAAATATCAAAATATCACTTGGTATTCCTTGCAGACACAGGACTACACTATTTGGACCACAACAAAAAATATAGAAGTCTAAATTTAGGGACACTTTTTTCTTAATCAGGCCATGCTTCTGTCATTTATGGTACAGCATCAATTATCCAGAAGTCAGTTAGCCAGAAAGTCAGTTAATTAGAAGGTTTTGTATTAACACAGCCAGCAGCCGGGTTATACTTGTTGGTGCGACAACTGTGCTTTGTTTACTTACTTGTGCTTGAGATTTTACATTTCCCAGTACTGTATATTCATTCCTGGTTGTTTTTTTAATATTTGCTGTACTGTATAGTAATTAAGGTGTATTTCAGGACTTTATATTGTAGTGTTTGATTATCTGGAAAACTGATTATCCTGAATGATGGTGACACTAATTACTCTGGATAACTGATGTTCTACTGTACTTCATGGAAAATGCACAGCCAGTTCTAGATAAAATAGAGCACTGTCAAAGGATAATGCGGTCTCCCTGCTTTCTAACTATTCTGACACACTTATTTCTTGGTTTAAAAGCCAAGAGTAAAGTTTTTCTGAAATGCCATCTGAAATGCCATCTGAGAAGTGTGTAGTTGCTTTCCAGATTTGCATGAAAGTGTGAAAATATATACCCTATTTTTATGTATGCACAGCAGTACTCCTTGTGTGCATACCCATCCAGATTATGGGGGTATGGTAGATATTTTACCCATGCAAATCGGTCTGCTGCAAAAGTGCTTGGAGTTTTTCAAAACTCAATCCCTTAATTATTCCATCTGGCATTTGTTCAGGAAATACAGTAAGAATTTCTCACTTTCATGACTCATCTGTCTGCTTTTGGATCAGCGAAAAGAACCAATCTAGCTATGAGCTATATAGCCTTCCCATGTTTAAACTCACAGGAAGAGAACATAGAGAACCAATTCATTCCACTCCATAGAAAACTGGTTTGTGCCAGGCAATGCATATAGCCCTGTAAAACAGCGACGGGTCGCTCTTGATGTTCCAAATGTTTAGGATCTCTGGTATTTTGTGAAATGACCTCACCTCCCTACACAGCTCCACTCCCTCCCTCAAGGAGATAAGAACTGGTGCTCTTGCTTGCTTCTATCAGCACTCTCTGCCAACCAATAGCATAACAATGGGTGAGTGAGTGGGGCACAAGCCCCAGGCACTACCGAGTGGGGGAGGGAGGGGTTGGAGCCCAGGATGGAACTAGGAGTATTCCTCATTTTCTTGTTCATTTCTTCTGTCCCAGTCCCTGCACCCTGCACCTTACCTGGAGCAGCTTCAGCTGCAGCAGAGTGGGAGGGCTTAACAACAGCACCAGTGCACAGTGTAGGAGCTGTACCCAAAGTCTTACTGTTGCAGGAGGGAGATGTCTCCTTCACTTTTGCCACCAAAAAACTGGTGTTTACATGGCTGCTCAACACAATAGAATGGCAAAAAAGGCAGCACCCCGCCGCTACAGCTCTGACTGCTTCTGCCTAGACAGTAGTACCGGCCAGTTATGGTTCTGCTATCGCACTGTAATCTTCCAGTGCTTCCAAGTTTAAGGTTATATAGACTGGTTTTCCTGGCTCCATGCTTACAAGCTTTGCTGCCTACAAAGCTTTAAACACAGGTTCCGAGGAAAGGGAGAAAGGCCCCAAGAGCCCTACTCTGTCCTTCTACTGCCTAAGGAATTTCTTCTTTTCGCCTGGATTTGCTTGTCTGCACACCATAAAGCTAAGTGGAGCAGACACACCCATATAACAGGTTCCTTGGAAAACAGACCAATCTGATTATTGGGATTTATTAAATATTTTGCAATGTCATACAGAGATATTATTTAAGATTTACATATATGTTTGGTTTAACTCCAAATCAACTGCCAATCTATCATCTTCTGAGCAACCATTCTTTTCCAGATTGGTGCTGCACAACTGGAAAATGCCCGGCTCATTTTACAGATTGACAATGCCAAGCTAGCTGCTGATGACTTTAGAATGAAGTAAGTTCTACAAGCATTTAATAAGATCCCCTCCCTACTCTGGACATTGAAGCTCCTAGAAGGCCAGCTCAGTCTGAAAACAAAGAAGAGTTTTATGAATGGACTTGAACAGTAAGACTTAATGACTGCATTCCATAAATCCCATCTATGCCATTCCCACGAAAGACTCTACACATGCCTTTTATATTTACTTAGACATTTGTATATGTTGGCATTTTAAAAAGTTATTGAACTTAAAATTCCAAATTAAACTTTTTGTCACCAAAATGTTAAGAAAAAGGTAACTACAGATGGGTCAAACATTTATGTTGGGATGATGCCAGAATCAGTTTTATTTTCCAGGTATGAGAGTGAGCTAGCCATCAGACAAGGGGCAGAAAATGATACTGCTGGACTGCTCAAAGTCATTGATGACTTGACCTTGACAAAGGCAGACTTAGAGTCACAGGTCGAAGGTATGACTGAAGAGCTGGCTTTCCTCAAGAAAAACCATGAGGAGGCAAGTATAAAAGACCAACTCATTTACAGTCCATTTTTCCCCTTCACTGAAATACACAGAACATTTGGCACACACAAATGTCATTAGGAATAAAGAAAATGACATGGCTATTCTGAAACAAAGAAGTCTTAGTATTGAATTATTTCAGGACAGATATTCATAAGCCATGCATTACATAGGGCCCCTGATTTGAGTAGCATCTGTCAATTCAGGGTGGCTAATAGCTTCTGTAGAGCATCTGTAACTGTGCCCTGGATTTTGCTCCCCAAAAAATGAGAACTTTACAGAGGAACAATACTTCCTGTGCTAGGACCTGAGGCACTCTGATGAGTATTGAACACACTCTAGGATGCAAGAGGAGTTGACTACGGCAAAGCTCAGCCTTTGCAATGCTTGGAAGAGCTTTTGTAAACAGGTTGGACTGATGCTAGGGGGATAAGCTAAGGGATTTCTAATGTGAATGATCAGTGGGTTAGGGATAGTGGGTAGGTTTGGACGTGGGAATAAGCAGCAGTATAGACTTTGTGGCTTGGGAAAATAAGGTGAAACCGTTTTCCTTTAAGGAAGATCTTTGGTTTTATCAATCACCACTAAATATAAAAGATGGCTGGGAGCCAAGACTCTCACACTCTCTGATTCACAGTGGTTGTGTCTACATAAGATGCTATTGTGGAGTGGTTACTGTGCATTTATTTAGTACTTGTATAAGCAAGGACTAAAGAGATGTGTAGTAGGGCTGGATCCAGATATGCAGGCATGTGCGGTTTGTGATGCTGCAAACTTATTTGCAGTGCCACAAACCATACAAGTTGCACATTAAATCAGTGCTGCTAATTTGCAGTGCCAGGGCAAAATTTGCTATCAGGATTTCCCAGTAGTAAAAAAAGAAAAGCTGGGGAAAAAAGCATCACAAACCATGCCGAAGTGGTGAGTGCTGAGACAAATGCAGAGATGGGGGATCAGACAGCCCAGGGCTGCCTGCTCCTCCTGCCCAGGGCTGCCTGCTCTCCTGTCTCTGCACACTGTGGAGCCCCCATGCTGAGGCACCCTGCGCCCCAGCCAGCCACTCCACGGCTCCGCAATAGAGCTCCCATGCTGAGACACACAGAGATGGAGGAGCCCTGTGTCACCCACACTGCAATCCAGTGTCACCCAAGGCTGACTGATCCCCTGTCTTGAGGCACACTGTGCCCCAGTCAGGCACGGAGTGGCTAGCTAGGGCACAGGTGCCTCAGCACGGGGCTCCACAAAGCACGAAGATGGAGAAGCAGGAAGTGCTTGCTCCCCCATCTCCACATGCCACTCCGCAGCTGGCCAGGGTGCCTTACCCTGTGCTGCATCCAACACCCCCTGCTCCCAGCTGCAGCATATGGAGCAGTGGGACAATGCATTCCACTGCAAAGCACATGGACGCGGTACAAAGTAGCAACAAATTTGTGCTGCTACTATTTGTGCTGTTGTAAAGGCATGCATCTGCTCGTGTGGACCTGGCCTAAATGGAATTACTGCACAGTAGTGCCAGCAAATGTTTTTTAAGTGATGCTACTGTGCAGTAGCCTAATAACACTGCACAGTAACATATTAGCACTGTCCATGCTGCGATGCACTACTGTTCAGTATTATTAGGCTACTGCACAGTCAGTCTCATGTAGACGCGCTGTGTACAGCTCTAAGGCCACAGTGTCAAAGATGTGGCCTACAGACTGGAACTGCCCCACAGAATCCTATGATCCAGCCCATAGTGCTGCCTGTAGATGATGGGGCCAGTGCGTGATGCACATAGCACGCAGGGCTAGAGCCAGCACACCTACTTGAAGCAACCTGCAGGCAAGTCCAGGGTGCACACTGCATGTGATATTTGCACTGAGCCAGCTCTGCACTGGATTTGTCATGTGGGGCCAGTCTCTAGGTCTAATCTGGCCTGAAGACTGGCTCCACACCCCTCATCCGGCTTGTGGGGCCAGACAGGTTTGATCCCCTGCTCTAAGGAAATCGCCTAACTTCTGTTTTGCACTTTCCCTTGCTACAAAGTGAGCAAAACAGACCCTAGAAATAACTAATAAAGTAAAGCAATTGAGATTCACTGAGATAAGATGCTAGTTAAGAACTATGAATTAGTTTTATGACTTCATTTTTTATGCGTTTTGATTTATTTCTTAATTTCTGATTTACATGACTGCATGTTTTGCCTATTTAGTATTAATTACTATAGAAGGTCTACAACTCTATTTTTTTAACTTTTTCTTAAGGAAGTTGACAGGCTGAGAAAACAACTGGGTGGCACAGTGAATGTAGAAGTGGATGCTGCTCCAAGTATTGATCTTGCCAAGATTATGGAAAACATGAGGCAGCAATATGAAAGCATGGCACAAAAAAATCGTCAAGAGGCCAAAGACCGGTTTGATAGACAGGTAAACTCTCACTGCATAAACATCAGAAGGCACCACAGAAAGGAGATCATTCAGAGTTTAAAATCCATCTTCTTTTCCCTCCTTGATATTTCAGACAGAAGAACTGAACCAGGTAGTAGCTGTCAACACTGAACAACTGAACTCCAAAAAAACTGAGATCACAGACCTGAAGCGGACCTTCCAGAGCTTGGAGATAGAACTACAGTCCCAGCTTAGCATGGTAAAGCTTAACTAATATTTAACATAAAGAACTCCTTAACACATAATCAGGTAGATAAATAGAAGAACTTCACAGGCTTTTGATGTAATATAATATTAAAACACAAAATAAGTCATCTTGAATAACACAACTCCTAAAGTTGTCTATTATTTCACTGGCTGTAGAAAAAAGCTTTAGAAGACACCTTGGCTGAAACTGAAGCACGCTATGGTTCACTACTAGCCCAGATCCAGGCTGCAATTGGCAATGTAGAGGGACAGCTGGTACAGGTCCGAGCTGACATGGAGCGTCAGAACAATGAATACAATATTCTCCTAGATGTAAAGACCCGTTTGGAGATGGAGATTGCCACGTATCGTCGCCTCCTGGAAGGAGAGGATATTGGGTGAGGAACTCAATACAAATGCAGTTTATCTTTCAATTTACCATTATATGAAGTCAGCAAAAATTGCAAATACTCTATATAATAATGGCTATCACAGTGAAGAGAGGAAAGAGGACAGAGGACAAATGAAGACTTATATGTGCATCCAACAGAAAAAACAAACAAAAAAACACTCTATTGGTGGTGTGGTAGTCTCATTCTGGGTCACACCAAGCTGAATTCAAGTCATACAAGTAAAATGATTGTGTATGGTGTTCTAAAGTAGAAACATTTTCTAGGTGTTTTAGTTTTCTCATTTTTTTAAAACTTCAGAAATGAAAATAACTTTCTCTCCTTCCCCTCCCCCCACAACAATAATAGTGAAACTACCAATTATAAATATAATTGCTATTCATGGTAACTTTCCAATTTTGAACTCTAGCAATAGACAATTCAGTATCTAAAGCAACCTGGTTGGTAGCACAAAAGAACCTTTAACCACTCTTTGCATAACTTCATGGGCAGTGAAGATGGGGACAGATTGGCATTTTGGCTAGGGACAGACACTCAAAAATTGAGCCTGAATTGATTTAATCCTTGCAGGTTACTCTAACCTGCCTGGGTTGAACCAGTTTGCAACTAAACAGACATTCCCTCTGGACCGAAGAAATACAGGTACATGCCTGCAGTAGCTCAGGCTAGAAGCTAGGGGGGCACTAGATTAGCCCTCCCTTCCCTTCCACAGGACACTCTGATTAGGGAGGGGTGTAAACTCCAATTCTGCTTGCACTGTCCCAGGCTTTTTTCCACTCACTGCTCAAGGGGCGGGAATGTTGCCAGACCCCAGCCCTGAGCTAGCATTCTGAGGCAGAGAGTGTGTGTGCAGTGCATGCATCTGCTGATGATACTGAGCTTTTCATTCTCCCTTTCCCTGCTTCTTCATACTGTCTGCAAACCTGAAAGTCAAGGGAGCCAGCAGGGGGCTGATGATACAGCATTTATCAGCCCATCGACAAAACAAAAGCCTCTCTCATTAGTTCAAGCTCTTCTTAAACAGCTTTTTCCAAGGAAAGAATGGAGGAATATTACCAGCTGACCTGTTGATTAGCTCCAAAAAGACCTAAGCGGACACTGTTCTGTCTGCCTGTCCCAGTGAAATTGGAGATGCGCGCACACAGACACTTCTCAGCATTAGCTAGCGTACCACATGCCTAGGGTCCATGGGACTGGGGTCAGTGCTGTGGGAGCTGGAAGGGAGTGAAGGAGGGGGGATTCCTGCTTGAGCAGGGAGTGGCAAGGAGGGGGAGCCAGGCAGACTCTGCTGTGCCTGAGGTCTCCACTAGAACTTTGGCTAGGGAGCAGAGGGGCGGAGCCAGGCCTGTTCTCTGGAGCAAAGAGCACAGCCCAGCCCAGGGCTGGAAAGCATCTGGGATGCTGGAGGACTCTGGTTTAACTTAAATCTGGCAGAGGTCTGGGGCAGACATTGCATAAACTGGTTTGACCCAAATCAGTTAAGACTGATACTACATTCAAGCATATTTATCTTAAGCCAGTTTCAGCCATTTTGAAACTGGTTTATGTGCACTGAATTTATGTTCTGTTACAGGTTTAAACCAGTTTCTGATCACTTAAATAGGTTTACGTGTAATGTCTGTCCCTAGCCTTTGTGACAGGGTCTGCAAGCAATGTCACTCTACTGTCCATATTTCATAAATAGTGGATACAAAGCAGTCTGCAGCTGCGTCTGCTTCTCCCTAAGACCTGAACAAGGGCAATATGGTCTCAATTTGTCAAATCTCTCCCCCAACTATACAGTTTATGCAATACAAGATATCACAAAAAAAACTCTTGCCTGTCATACAGTTCCTGGACCATCATGGTTACAGCAACATTCTAACCCAATTTCTTCAATGTAATTAATACGATTTATTTACAAGGCATATTCTATTCATATTTTTAACAGAAGTCGTCAGTCAGAGTTATCTAAAGCAGAGTATGAGAAAGGTATGTCATCTAAAGTTTTATTTTAATGTTTTTTATATTTGGTTGCTGCTAATTAGAATGCTATAAATTGATTAGGTTGATGTAAAATATTTGCTCAGAAGCAGATACGCACTCAGTGGAAATCTTATGGCAAAACTGCCAGTTCAGCTGAATGAATATGTAACCCTCAATGCGTGCTTACAGGTGCATTTAAGCATGCCTAAATGTAATGCGCATTAACTTAACATGCATTAAGTGGGTTTAGGCAGGTGTCTATATGTGCAGGCATTAAAACATATTAATGGTGTGTGTGGACTGACTTGGGACTAAAGTTAGTCCCAAGTCAGTCCACACACACACCGTTAATGCACTTTAAATGCATCTACACATGCGTTAATGTGCTTTAACTATTCATGCCTAAATTTGATATCTACATTAGCAGGTACAGGTTTCCCTCATTTTATGCTGTATATGTGTTCCTGGAAAACTGCGCATAACTCAAATTCACATAAAGGGAACCCACTTTACAATGTAACAAATAGGGGTACATTCCAAGACCTCAACTGTACTGACCCCCAGACCCATTTCTACCACTTTTACAAGACATTTTTGGTACTTACCAACAGCAAACAGTACACACAAGCACAGGGTGGTGGTGAATATTACCATAATGGGGATGGCAAATACAGAAACATGTGTCACAGACAACAAGCAAGGAGCACAGATTCACGCAGGAGACTATACAGGTTTTCCTCCCTTTATGCTGTACATGCATTCCTAGAAAACAGCACATAACTTGAATTCACATGAAGGAAACCCACTTTACAATGTAACAAATAGGGATACATTCTAAGACCTCAACTGTATTGACCTTCAGAATAATTTACCACTTTTACAAGAAATGTTGGTACTCACCAACAGCAGACAGTATACACAAACACAGGGCACTATCATAATGGGCATGGCAACTACAGAAATGTGTCACAGACAACAAGCGAGGAGCACAGATCCACACAGGAGACTATATTTGGTGTCTGTCACTCCCACAATACACTGCACAAAGCAGCTGACTGTGAGCTTCCACCGCACCAATCGCATAAGAATGAATCTACCTCACATATAACAAATTTTTGGTATAAGAAGGCTCATCACATAAGAGCAAATTAATACATACAGAACCTGCATAAAGCAAGGGTACCCTGTATCAAATTTAGGTGCGATTAGCCCCAAATTGCCATTTTTAAAGCACATTAAGGGCACGCACATGTAGACGTGTGACCTAATGCACCTTAAATTTAGGCTAATGCACCTTAAAGCATCTCATGTAGATACACCCTCAGTGTACTAAAATGTTCCTATTTAAAGCTCCTTAAGCCTAAACTTCCTGTGCTGAACTGAAGCCACAAAATGGTCAGTAGGAAGAAAGTCTAACTCAACCCAATGTTCAGGATAAATTTAAGGGTAATGTAGGTGTTCAGTGAATAGAGAAACCATATTGCACAAACCAGGAAAGAAAGATCCTCTGAACCAAACTGTTTTTTGAAAATGCTGCCTCTGCAAATACACACTTGTGAAGCTGATGCCTCCTGCTGCTGATCTAGTTTTAGAAGTCTACCTAACTCAAGGAGGCAGCTGGCTGATTTCACATGGAGATCACTGGGGCTTGCTGCCATTTTTGTGGGCTGATCATAGTGCCACCCCCCCTCCCCACCTCTGATTGGCCAAAGAGTCCCAATGGCCCCACCCGTCACCACTGATTGTCTCTGAGGGCTGTCCATCATGTGGCTCTGTCCCTTGCTGCTAATTGGTGGAGGGGGCAGGGCCGCACAACAAGCAGACCTCTCAGCCAATTCACCATGAGGGGCAGGGGCAGCAACCATCTTGGCCTCCACTTCATGTGGGCAGGACATTTTCTTCACTAGTGCTTTCTTTTCAAGTTTGAAGACCTGGCTGGAATGATTTAGCTGGGTCTGGTCCTGCTTTGAGCAGGGGGTTGGACTAGGGGGTTCCTTCCAACCCTCATTTTGTATGGTTCTATAAAAGATATCACCAAAAACCTCTTGTTCTTAACATATTTCCTGCACCATCAGGGCTACAGCAAAACTCCAATACATTTATACCCTAAGCCAAAACTCGGTATCTAGCATATTACAATAAATGACATTTTCCTTTATAAAGCTGATCTTAAATTTAAGGACAAAACCATACACGATAAGTTATTTAACCTCTTTTCTTTTCATATGTACTTCAAACATCAGAAGAAAGTGCTAGCGAAGAAAATGTTAACAATGATTACTGTTTTAATACGCAATGCTTTCAATTAACTCTGTCTCATTTTATTTCCAGAAATAAATAAAATTAGAAAAATCAAGACAGTTGTTGAGGAAGTGGTTGACGGCAAAGTTGTCTCTTCCAAAGTTAAAGAGATTGAAGAGAAGATGTAAGTGGCAGCAGGAAGGATATGCCTCCAAGCTTCTCAGAGTGATGGCAACAATTATATGATTAAACAAACAGTCCAAGCCAGGTCCCCCTGAAGTCAATGGGAGGTTGAAAAATCCCCAGGTTATACACTGGGAAAATGTGCTTTTCCTTTGTTTTTGTCTATTAATCATAATAATTTTTTTTTAAATTTGCATCCCTAAGTTACAAAGCACAAATATCTGTTAAAACCTTTTTATTTACAAGGTGACTGGCAAGTTTCTTAAAGAATGAGGGCTATTCAGTATTTAAGATAAGGTGTATACTATACTGTTATACAGAAATCCATAATTAATTCTAGGGTAGCTAGAAATTGGTCATTAAATTTATATTAGATATCAGACTTTTTAATTTAAATTAAATTGATTTTATTTTTAAAATTAAATTTGCTTAATATTAAAATAGATATTTGGCAGCCTAGCCTACCACTTGAATTTAATTTAGAAAATATTTAAATTATATTTTATGCTGTAACATTTTTGAAGAACCTCAAATCTCGAAACAGGAACCATAGTTTGTTGAAGTCCTGAAAAGAATCAGTCTTTTCTGCAAGAGCAGGAGTTTTCTTATATTTTTTTCCTACTAGTTCAGCTTAGTGTCTCTTTAATTCAAAGTTCAGAAACAGACTGAGCACTAAAAAGGCTGGGAAGCATGTTTTCCTTTTCTGGTCTATGAATAAAAACAAGATTCTTCTAAAACTTTAAAGGACATGAATAAAAAACAATCAGTTCAATTCACAGCTACAGATAATAGTGTACTTTCCTTGTTGAATATATCAATTAGTTTTAAAAGAAAAACGTGTTTTGATTCTCTTTTTCTCTTATGTATCTAGTACACTTAAATTGATCTTATTTAACTAAAAAAAAGTTCTAAAATGCTGGTCTTGAATATTTTCAGTTGAATTTCAATTTTCATCCAAATAGAGCTTTAAATAAACTGAGTAAAAATAATTATTATCCAGTAAATAAAGTGTCATACTAAGTTAAATGATTTTATATAGATAGTGCACACTATTTCTATTAACAAAGAGAAGAAATGTATCTGGAGTACTGGTAGATGCTACATACTTGGTTGCAAAGCTCATGTTTGAATTGTTAATCAAAGAGAATTCACAGCTCTTTAGGAAAATAACTAAAATGTATAAAGGCAGCACACAATTAAAACTGATTATTTGAAGCAAAGTTTCCAAATATCATGATTCAAAACAACATAGATCACTCTGATTTAAATCAATCCAGCCTATTATTTATGTTTATTTTAATGGGATGCATATTCTATTCTTTTGATTATGATTTTTCTAAGAGTAACTAACAGGTAATTTTCAGTAATGTGTAACTAGTATGTAGAAGCAGAATATTTATCCTAAAACTTCATAAATAAGAGTGACCATGGAAATAAAAAGGATTTAACAGGCTATGCCTTCTCTGTAGTTTCAAGTATTATTAAATCTCTCTTACTTTCTCTTTGTACTTCTGTAATTTGTGGTGCATTCATATCTTGCATTCTTATAGTATATATAATGTTGATCCCTGTTTTGATGTCTGCCTGTTTTTTACAGTCATTCACCTGATTGATATCACAACATGTTAAACCAGGGGGCAACAACCTTTCCCCAATGTATGCCATTCTTTGTGACCCAGCCTCCTGCCACTGGCTGCAAGTCTCTGTCCCTTGGAACAGCCAGCTGCCTGGAGTTACCTCAGTGCTGATCCCCATCCCTGCTGCAGCAAGGGGAAACAGATGTGGCAGAGCAGCAAGCTCCTAATTCCCCATGTTGAATCAGATATTTGCAGCCAGATCAGATTTCTTTCACGGGCCAGATCCAGCCCCTGGGTATGGACAGATGTAAGATCTGAAGGACTTCAAAATGCAGCTGCTCATATCCTTCCCTTAAAAATGAAATATAGATCACTCCTTTCATTTAAAAGACAGAAAATTCAGCCCCCATCCCCATTTTTGTCCAATTGCTTAGTGATATAACCGCTCACCCAGGATGTGGGAGACTGCCTGAGATGACTCAAATTCACGTCATACCTCCTAGGAAAGTACTCTAACCACCAGGTTATAGGCTACAGAATGTGGGGAGGGAAGAAAGGCAACCAGACTTTTATCACATCCTATTAAAGATACTTCATTCTGTAGAAAAGAAATCAACTTTAATTGACTCATGCAAAAAGCAAGTGTGAACATGTCTCTAGCTATATGGTTAAGGCACTTATATAGGTAGTCATCTGGGTTGGGGAGTGGGAAGTCCTGTGTCCCTGTATTTTAGATTAAACAGTCACTAGGCACGTTTATACATGCAATTAACGCAAAGCAATAAACTCCGGCGCTTATTGCTCTGGAGTTTATTGCTCCCTGGAATGCTATTTGAACATGTGCCTGGACTACAGATTGTTGAACCGGGTCAGAGCAACCCTGGCTGACAGAAGCCCCTAGGAGTCAGCATGCCAGCCTGGGGCTGCTCTCCCAGCTCAATGTGCTATGGAGGGGCTGACTGGGGCACGAGAGTGCTTCAGTGCATGGCTAGCCAGCAGGCACCCCTCGTACTGTATCACGGAATCATAGAAAATTAGGGTTGGAAGGGACCTCAGGAGGTCATCTAGTCCAACCCCCTGCTCAAAGCAAGACCTTCCCCAACTAGATCATCGCAGTCAAAGCTTTGTCTAGCTGGCTTTTGATTGCCTCCAAGGATAGAGCTTCCACCACCTCTCTGGGTAACCTGTTCCAGCATTTTACTACCCTCCTAGTGAGAAAATTCTTCCTAATATCTAACCTAAACTTCCCTTGCTGCAACTTGAGACCATGGCTCCTTGTTCTGTCGTCTGCCACCCCTGAGAACAGTCCAGCTCCATCCTCTTTCAAAACCCCCTTCAGTTAATTGAAGGCTATTAAGTCCCCTCTGAGTCTCCTCTTCTTTATACTAAATGAGCCCAGTTCCCTCAGTCTTTCCTCATAAGTCATAACCCCTGACCCCCTAACCATTTTTGTCACCCTGTGCTGGACTCTCTCCAATTTGTTCACATCCTTTCTGTAGTGGGGGGCCCAACACTGAACTCAATACTCCAGATATGGCCTCATCAGTGCTGAATAGAGGGGAATAATCAACTCCCTTGACCTACTGGCAACACACCTACCAATGCAGCCCAGTACGCCATTAGTCTTCTTGGCAACAAGGGTATACTGCTGGTTCATATTCAGCTTCTTGTCCACTGTAACCTGCAGGTCCTTTTTTGCAGAGCTGCTGCCCAGCCAGTCAGCCCCCAGCCTGTACTGGTGCATGGGATTGTTTCGTCCTAAGTGCAGGACCTTGGCCTCGCCCTTGTTGAACCTCATGAGATTACTTTTGGTCCAATCCTCTAATTTGTCTAGGTCACTCTGAATCCTAGCTAGAGGTGCACTGATACATCAATCAGTCTGATATCGGATCAGTACCAATATAAAGAAAATTGTCTATATCAGATATAGTGCCGATAGTTTGACCAATAAATGCTCGTGCTGCACAAAGCCCACAGCACAACCCGGAGCAGTCGGCAGCATGGAGAGCTGCCTCCAGCTGGTAAGTCAGAAGGGGAGGGGGAGGGAAGGGGCATGGAGGGGCAGGTCAACACCCCCCACAGTGAGGGAGGGAGCAGGGGCAGCCGCAGCTTTTCCCGGTGCTTGGGTGGAGGCAGGGCCTTGAGCTGGGGCTGCACCGGGCAGCAGCAGGAGGCTGGGAACAGAGCTGCAGCAAAATTTGGGGTGGCTGCAGACTCCTCCCAGTGCTGCTGGAGCCTGCTCTGAGCCCAGCTCCTGGCAACAACAGCTCCCCGCAGCACCGGCTCTGGTTCCACCGTGCAGCTGCTGCCCACCCCGTGCTGCGCACACCTGGGGGCACATGCCCCCCCCCCCACCAACCCCAGGGTGCAGGCAGGGATCCGCCCCCCTCCCCCCTTCCCTCCCCCCTCCCTTCCACCACAATGGACTTACCAGCTGATGGCAGCTATATCGGATATCAGATCGGTATTGGCCGATAAGCCTGCTTAAATATTGACTATCGTTATCAGCCCCCCAAAACTCTATAGGTACACACCTAATCCTAGCCCTACCCTTCAGCATATCTACTACTCCTCCCAGCTTGGTGTCATCTGCAAACTTGCTGAGGGTGCACTCTATACCAGCTTCCAGGTCATTGATAAAGACACTGAACAAAACTGGCCCCAGGACCAACCCCTGGGGCACTCCACTTGATACCAGCTGCCAACTAGATATCAAGCCATTGACTACTACTCTGTGAGCCCGATGCTCCAGCCAGTTTTCTATCCATCTTACAGTCCTTTCATCCAGCCCATACTTCCTTAGCTTGCCTGTGAGAATGTACAATGTTGTGGGAGTACAATCACAAATCAAAGTACAACGCATCCACCAGTCTCCCATATCCACAAATCCAGTCATCTCATCATAGAAGGCAATCAGGTTGGTCAGGCATGACTTGCCCCTGGTAAATCCAAGCTGACTGTTTTTAATCACCTTCTTCTCCTCCAAGTGCTTAGAAATGGATTCCCTGAAGGACTGAGGTAAGGCTGACTGGTCTGTAGTTCCCTGATCCTCCTTCTTCCCTTTCATAAATATGGGCACTATGTTTGTCCTTTTCCAATCATCTGGGACCTCTCCTGATCATCATGAGTTTTCAAAAATGATGGCTAATAGCTCTGCAATCATATCAGCCAACTCCCTCAGCACCCTCGTGTGCATCCCATCCAGCCTCATGGACATGCCCAGCTTTTCTAAGTAGTCCCTAACCTGTTCTTTCACCACTGAGGGCTGCTCACCTCCTCCCCAAACTGTGCTGCCTGGTTCAGTAGTCTAGGAGCTGACCTTGCCTGTGAAGACTGAGGTGAAGAAGGCATTAAGCACTTCTATCTTTTTCTGCATCCTCTTGTCACAAGGTTGCCTCCCCCATTCAGTAAGGGACTCACACTTTCCCTGATTCTCCTCTTGCTACCAACATACTTTTATAAACCCTTCTTGTTAGCCTTCACATCCCTTGCTAGCTGCACCTTCAATTGCACTTTGGCCTTCCTGGGCACATCCAGACGAGTGCACACATGCCTCCTGCAGCATCTCAAACCCCTTTGGGATGCTGCAAGATGCACATGCGGGAACAAAAAGACATTCCCCACACTGCA